TCCCTAAGATTTTGGGCCCAGTTTTTGGTTCAAAGAGTCAAATCGCAAGCCCTGGTCCCTAAGATTTTGGGTTCAATTTTTGCTCCAAAGAGTCAAACCGCAAGCCCTGGTCCCTAAGATTTGGGGCCCAGTTTTTGCTCCAAAGAGTCAAATCGCAAACCCTGCTCCCTAAGATTTTGGGCCCAGTTTTTGCTCCAAAGAGTCAAATCGCAAGCCCTGGTCCCTAAGACTTTGGGTTCAATTTTGCTCCAAAGAGTGACATCGCAAGCCCTGGTCCCTAAGATTTGGGGCCCAGTTTTTGCGCCAAAGAGTAAAATCGCAAGCCCTGGTCCCTTAGATTTTTGGGTCGATTTTTGCTCCAAAGAGTCAAATCGCAAGCCCTGGTCCCTAAGTTTTCGGGGTCGATTTGTGCTCCACAGAGTCAAATCGCAAGCCCTGGTCCCTAAGATTTCGGGGTCATTTGTGCTCCACGGAGTCAAATTGCAAGCCCTGGTCCCTAAGATTTTGGGCCCAGTATTTGCTCCAAAGAGTGAAATCGCAAGCCCCGGTCTTTAAGATTTTGGGCTCATTTCTTGCTCCAAAGAGTAACATCGCAAGCCCTGGTCCCTAAGATTTTGGAATCGATTTTTGCTCCAAAGAGTCAGATCGCAAGCCCTGGTCCTAAAATGTTGGGCTCAATTTTTGCTTTTCCCTTCTCTTCTGCTTCCTTTTAACTGATAAAACACAAGAAAGGAACTCATATGATAAAGCAGTGGAAAGGTAAGCAGAGGGTGACTCCTTGCGCGTGAGCCTTTCCATAATACTCCATCATATTCATCCTCTCGGCCTATCTCTTCTGTTCCTTTCCTTACTCTTCTCCTTCTCATAGTTCTTCCTTTTTGTTTTTCTCATTTCGAAAAGAAAGAGGGAAGGGAGAAACAAGGGAGAGAGAATAGATAAAGAAGAGTGCCATCTTCTCTGCGCCTTGTTTTGTCTCTCCCTCTTCTCTATTCATCTGTCTTCTATTCTCTTCCTTGCTCTTCCCATTAAATATGCAATCCTTGGTATCTCTCCTCTCTCCTTCTCTCTTCCTCCAACAGATGTGCTTTTGGATCGTTTTCTGCATCTTCAAGCGAGAAAAAAGGACACAGACTGCGATTAAAAGGGACGCCCATGTTGGATTGGCAGCAAGCCCAGCTGATGCTCATGATTCTCTCTCTTTCCCTACACATGGGCGATGGAACGGGTGTCCTTTTCAATCGTTTTCTGCATCTTCAAGAGAAACAGGGACACCCCACAAGAAGGAAAAGCAACATAAGAGATAGGGAGGGAAATTGACCCTTTCCTCTCTTCTTATCTGCTATTTTTCTTATTCGATTCAAAAAGCAACATAAGGGAAAGGGGATTTCCTGAAGAGGAGAGAGGGAACCTATCTGTGAAAAGCAAGAATGGTTTTTTCTAGTTCGAAAGGGAATAGGGAGAGACAAGGGAGAGATGATATGTACAGCTTTGCGCCTTATTTTGTGATTCCGTCTCCTTGCTTCCTGTCTCTTCTATTCCTTGCAGCACGCTTCGGGAAACATAGCATCCTTGTTATCTTTCCTCTCTCACTTCCCTTTCCCTTCTCTTCTTCCGCTTCCTTTTAACTGATAAAACACAAGAAAGGAACTCATATGATAAAGCAGTGAAAAGGTAAGCAGAGGGTGACTCCTTGCGCGTGAGCCTTTCCATAATACTCCATCATATTCATCCTCTCGGCCTATCTCTTCTGTTCCTTTCCTTACTCTTCTCCTTCTCATAGTTCTTCCTTTTTGTTTTTCTCATTTCGAAAAGAAAGAGGGAAGGGAGAAACAAGGGAGAGAGAATAGATAAAGAAGAGCGCCATCTTCTCTATTCATCTGTCTTCTATTCTCTTCCTTGCTCTTCCCATTAAATATGCAATCCTTGGTATCTCTCCTCTCTCCTTCTCTCTTCCTCCAACAGATGTGCTTTTGGATCGTTTTCTGCATCTTCAAGCGAGAAAAAAGGACACAGACTGCGATTAAAAGGGACGCCCATGTTGGATTGGCAGCAAGCCCAGCTGATGCTCATGATTCTCTCTCTTTCCCTACACATGGGCGATGGAACGGGTGTCCTTTTCAATCGTTTTCTGCATCTTCAAGAGAAACAGGGACACCCCACAAGAAGGAAAAGCAACATAAGAGATAGGGAGGGAAATTGACCCTTTCCTCTCTTCTTATCTGCTATTTTTCTTATTCGCTTCAAAAAGCAACATAAGGGAAAGGGGATTTCCTGAAGAGGAGAGAGGGAACCTATCTGTGAAAAGCAAGAATGGTTTTTTCTAGTTCGAAAGGGAATAGGGAGAGACAAGGGAGAGATGATATGTACAGCTTTGCGCCTTATTTTGTGATTCCGTCTCCTTGCTTCCTGTCTCTTCTATTCCTTGCAGCACGCTTCGGGAAACATAGCATCCTTGTTATCTTTCCTCTCTCACTTCCCTTTCCCTTCTCTTCTTCCGCTTCCTTTTAACTGATAAAACACAAGAAAGGAACTCATATGATAAAGCAGTGAAAAGGTAAGCAGAGGGTGACTCCTTGCGCGTGAGCCTTTCCATAATACTCCATCATATTCATCCTCTCGGCCTATCTCTTCTGTTCCTTTCCTTACTCTTCTCCTTCTCATAGTTCTTCCTTTTTGTTTTTCTCATTTCGAAAAGAAAGAGGGAAGGGAGAAACAAGGGAGAGAGAATAGATAAAGAAGAGTGCCATCTTCTCTGCGCCTTGTTTTGTCTCTTCTCTATTCATCTGTCTTCTATTCTCTTCCTTGCTCTTCCCATTAAATATGCAATCCTTGGTATCTCTCCTCTCTCCTTCTCTCTTCCTCCAACAGATGTGCTTTTGGATCGTTTTCTGCATCTTCAAGCGAGAAAAAAGGACACAGAATGCGATTAAAAGGGACGCCCATGTTGGATTGGCAGCAAGCCCAGCTGATGCTCATGATTCTCTCTCTTTTTCCCTACATATGGGCGATGGAACGGGTGTCCTTTTCAATCGTTTTCTGCATCTTCAAGAGAAAAAGGGACACCCCACAAGAAGGAAAAGTAACATAAGAGATAGGGAGGGAAATTGAAGAACTCCTCATTGTACTTGGTCATTCCCTTTCCTCTCTTCTTATCTGCCCATTTTCTGTGCGCCTTGTTTTGTCTCCCCCTCTTCTCCCATCATCTCTCTTCTGGTCTTTTCTTTGCTCTTCCCATTAAAAATGCAACCCTTTTTATGTCTCCTCTCTCCTTCTCTCTCCCTCCTCTTCTCCTGTTCCCTTCTAAACGACAAAAACGCAAGAAAGGAAGAATAAGAGGGGAATGGAGGCCCTGTTCCTTTTCCTCTTTCAATGGATGGGGGAAGTGGGCGGAGTTGGCCCCTTGCCCGTACACCCTCCCCATGCTTCAGCAAACCCCTCCTCTCGCCCTATCGCCTCTGTTTTTTTCCTTGTGCCCAAACGGAAAACGAAAACGGGTTCCTTTATATGTTCATTGTCCTTCCTTTTGTTTTTTTATTTCACAGGGAAAAGAACCAGAGAAGAGGAAGATAAGAACGAGAGGTGAGATGAAAACGGCACCATCTTCTCTTTGCCTTATTTTTGCACCTCCCTCTCCTGTCTTAATTTCTCTTCCACTCTTTTTTTCCATTGCTCTTCCCATAATATTGCATTCCTTTTGATAACTCACAGGAAATTAAAATGGCCTCCTTGTTGTCTCTCCTCTCTCACTTCCCTTTCCCTTCTCTCCTTCTGTTTCCTTTTAATTTTAACTGATAAAACACAAGAAAGGAGCTTGTAAAATCAAGCAGTGGAAGGGTAAGCAGAAGGTGACTCCTTGTGCGTGGACCTTTGCCGTACTTCACCATACCCCTCTTTTCGGCCTATCTCTTCGGCTCTTTTCCTAACCCTTCTTCTTTTCATCTTTCTTTTTGTTTTTCTCATTTCGAAAAGACAGAGGGAACGGAGAGATAAGGGAGAGAGGATAGATAAAGAAGAGTACCATCTTCTTTGCGCCTTGTTTTATCTCTCTTCTATTCTTTTCTTGGCTCTTCCCATGAAAATCGTGTTCCTCTTATCTTTCCCTCCTTCTCTCCCTTCTCTTCTCCTCACGAGAGCCTTCGACTTTAGGATTGAGGAGAAAAAGAGAAGAGAAAAGAGGAACTACCTGGTTCTTGTTCCTGAGGCCTCCATAGTACGACTGACGTGACAGCAGCGTACCCTCGTGGAAACGTGTATGGCTATAAGAAAACCCGAGTCCCAGCTTCCAAATAGACCCTATTTAAGCCACCCACCCCCCCCCCCCAAAAAAAAAAAAAAAAGAGGGCGTGACTCCCAGGAGGAGCTTCTCCACGCGCTTTGGCGAGCGGTCCAACAAGGACTCCGACGGGCAGACGGGCCTGCGCCTGCGAGGCGCCGCGGTGTAAGGTTTGTAGCCCTAAACCCTGAACCCTCAACCCTAAATTCACTCCTGAGCACAAAAGGCCTGGTAAGAGTTTTTCGGGCTTCCTTCGCAGGCGCTCGCGCCAGCCTCAGCAGAAGCCGTGTCTCAACAAAGAGGGGCTTACTAGCTGCCTGTGCAGGCTTTGAAGTACTATATCCCCCTCGGGAATTATTGCTTATGTCTGTGTGTTTAAAACCCAAGAGGATATTAAGAACATTATCTTTGTTAAGGTTCTAAGAGGAGCAGTATAGAGTATGGTTCTCTCGTGTTCTCTCACATACCTTGTCTGCAGCGTGTCATGGGGACTAGCGATAATACATGTAGGCCCTTGGGCCATCTTATATTTGCCCTTGTAGGGCTTAGGAGGGCCATATGTAGGAATATTTTGAGAGGGCTTCAAGGGCCATCCTAGACCCTAACCCTAAACTGGAGGCAAGCTGGAGCACTCCAAGCAGGTGCACGTGTTCCAGCCTGACCCTTTGCATGCACAAGGGCTCAGGGGGGACACTTTTTTTTGACGTAACCGCAAGAGCAAGCCTGCATGGAAACTTCACAGGACCCTGCTTCAAAAAAAAAGGGTCTCTCACCTCGCAGATACCTTTTTATCATCGGGGGCCCTTTAAACGAGACCCCCAAAAGGCTCGGTCCAGGCCTTGATGTCTTGATTATGTGGTTCTTGCAGCAGTAGGATTGGTAGTCCGGTGGTACCCGTTAAGTTCCCTTACCAAGCAAGCAACCCCAGAAAAAGGGGAAACCCTCATTGGAAGATGGCTACTGGGCTAGTAGGAACCGATGGAAGGGGAGGCCGTAAACCCTAAACCCTAAACCCTAAACCCTAAACCCTAAACCCTAAACCCTAAACCCTAAACCGCGGCAAGCCAAGGACTTTTGGTACCACAACGCCCCGCTCATGCGCAACGCGGACATTGTGGACTTGAGCGATGAAACAGCTCCGGACTGGAACTTCATGAACGACAAGGTTGGACCACACCCAGGGTTTAAGGTTTGGGGTTTAAGGTTTAGAGTTTAGGGTTTAGGGTTTAGGGTTTATAAGGTTTAGGGTTTAGGGTTTATAAGGTTTAGGATTTAGGGGGCGGGCAGTGCAGTAGTCCTGGCCGTAAAAAGGGTTTAGGGTGTAGGGTACCCAGTGACACGGGTTGTGGCTTCCTGAGGTTTCCTGCAGAAAAGACGGAGGGCACTCAGGGCAAAACCCTCGGTAATATTGTAACATGTGATAGGTGATCTTGGTTGGTAAATATGTAGCAAGATCGACACTGGTCGATGAAAGGTACATGGTTTGTCCATAGCAAGGAAATACAAAGCCACTTCAAGTCTTTAAGGGGCTTATGGGTAGGCTTTCAGAAAGCTTAGGTCTTTGGCTTCGTGAAGTGCGTCTTCAAGCTGATGGATGGCTGGGAGGTTCTGCCACAGGGAGAGGATGCTCGCCTCAATGCATGAAGCTGCCTGCATTCCTACTACGTCCTTCCATGCTAAGGTTCCCTACATCCTTTTTTTTGGCATAGCATCCCTACTAAATGATGTCCAAAAGCTCAGGATCACGAGCACAGGCCCAAAGAGGAGTCGGACGACGAAGATGAGGCTGTTGCGGTCCAGGATGTGGCACCCGTGGTTCCTTCGCCCCCGAGCCGCGTTTGCCAGGAAACATTTTTGGGAGTTTCCTGAAAAATTCTGGCTCCAGACCAAACTTCCGTCCTAGCACAGCTTAGGTAGGCCCTTGGGACATTTTATATTTTACCTTATGGGGTTGAAAGAGCCTCATATTTTGGGAATACTTTTGGGGGGCCTTCAAGGGCCATCCTAGAGAGCACTGGCAACTCAAGCTTCAGGTCGCCAGTGGACACCGGTGCTGGTGTGGGGTCACTGGATGACTTGGCGGTGGCCAAAAGTTCCGATGCACGGAAGAAGAGTAAGGGCGACGACGCGCAGTCCATCGTCGTCACTGCCGAGGACTGGGGTTGCTTTCATCCTTTCATATGGATGTTGCCGTCGTTGTGGCGAGTCGAGATTCGTGTCACTTTCGTGCCTATAGGTGGATGCGCATGCATTCGCGGCAAGGACGTCGCAAAGCTTCGACGATCTGTTGGCTTTGATGATGACCTGGATTCTTATGCTTTCGACGTGGCGAGACTGACCTCGCGCTACAAGAACAAGGAGCGGCACGCAATGTGTTCTGGGGTCTATAGGGGATCTTTGGGAACTTTGAGGTTTCAGAATTCAGGGGCAAGATGTCGTTGCGCATTGGGCGATGCTTTGTGCCTGTGATCCGGGAACTGGAGACGATGAGGAGTGCACCAGACTGTTCTTGTGGTCCTGTGGCCAGGGAGCATTTCAATGTCGCATCCTGCCTGTTTGGCTTTGGCTGTAGCACTCTCAAAACTTAGGGGACGTGAATCTCGACAGTTTTTTTTATGGCGGCACATGCCTGGGTTTTCGCGTCGGGGCATGGTAAGCACCTCCCTTAACAACACCCTAACCGCAGTCCTTTCAGCCTCCATGCTGAACTCAGGCCGCACACCACTCAAATAAACGAATTGGTGCTGTTCTTGAGTACCTTGCATAACACTGTTCCTGATCTTGTTGCTTGACGATCAAAGTGGCATTTGCCCAACCACCCTTTCAAGGAGCCGCGAGTAACCCTAGCTAGTAATGCAAAAGAAGCCATTATTGCAGCACTGTTGATCTCCTTCAGGAGCGAGTCCCTTCACGCATCCGTGTGCGAATCTACTTCATCAAGGCCCGCTTGTTGGGATCTTTCTCCTGGGTTTCCGCAAGAGGCTGTGTGGTCGAGTGTTGAGTGTTGAGACCCGGGGTTCAGGCCTCCTCAGAGTAGACAAAAATCTGCAGAGTGCGAACTGGCCTCCCGGGTCTCAGTCGAAGTCTTGAGAGTCGTGCTTTCTGAATTTGAAGCCCTCTGCCCCCAAAGCCTTCAGCCAACCAATGTAGGCGCAACAAGTAGAGGCAGCTAGCCCAGAGAACTGAACATGCTGCCAACATGCCACCAAGACGCATATTTTGGCCTTGCTGATTTGGGGGTTTAGGATTGTAAGGGACCCCCAATTTTGACCCCCATATAGTTGGATCCCCTTGTCATATAAGGCCGCCCATAGTCTCCAGGTTGCATCTTGAGGGTGAAGATCGTAAACTCCCATATCCCCTCGAAGCCATACAGCCGAACCAGGATGGGCTATTAGGCCTTATAATCCCCATAGTCAACCCTATAAAGGGCCTTTTTAAGGGGGTGAGAGGGTCTAATAATCAACCCTCTAAAGGGCCTCTTTAAGGGGTTATAGGGTCTACTAGCCCATCTGGAAGCCTTCTTAGTGGCAAATGCTCAATCCCCCTGAGGCCATCTGCATCTTTGGCAAGCAGGTCGAAGGCTTCTTTGGCAAGGCCTTCATTGATCCCTACTTAGCGTGCCAAAGCTGCAGGGGTTTTACTGCAGGCTGTTTAGGGTTTAGGGTTTAGGGTCTACTGGGAATTGCCGGGTGTTCCTGCTGATGTTGGAAAGCTCTCGCGGGTTGCCGTTTTCACGAACTTGAAATTGCATTGCCAGGGGTGTGGTCTGGCGCTCTGCCAGCAACGCGTCTGCTTTCCCATGGTATGCTGGGTTAAACCTGGCCAGGCCCAAACCAGATCGCTGACCTGAAAAAACCCCACCCTCCCCCCCTCTTCCAGGTACAAGTTGGGGAATAGCATCGTGGTGTCCATGAGAGCCTTGTCTGTAAAAGGGGTTGGCCATGGCATGCGGAGCAGCGGCCATGAGCCAAGCATTCAAGCTCCAGCTCTTGCTTCAAGTGTTTCTGCAGATTCTACTGTCCAGGTTGTAGGACATGGCTCCGCGCCAAGGAAACATGGCGCAGTACAACACGAACGTCCCCAGCTTCTACAGAGTAGAGGCGCTTGCGAAAAGTCGGCCAAAAGGTTTGTGAACAAGTATGCAAAAATGCTTGCATCTCGATGCCGAGAATGAGAACGGGACTCAAGAAGATTGAGTGTTTAAGTGCCGTCTCCATCTTTTTTGGCTTTGCACAGGGTGGTGCTTACAGGGGTATCTGGCACAAAGGCTGGACAATCAAGACGCTGAACAGAAGTAGGAGTTCTGGCACTCAGTAGTCTTGAGGAAAGGGGTGAGGGGCCCTTAACCCTGAAGCCGAAACCCTAAACCCTAAACCCTAAACCCTATTTGCGGCAACGGGTCGGCGCAGGAGCGGGACATCGTGATGCCTGCAGAGTCCCGCCTGCAGGTCCGGACGCTGGGAGGGTTTTTCTGACTGTTTAGTTCTTATAAACCCTAAGCCCCTGGTTGATATAGAGCCCAAAGCAATATGAAGCCTAATTATTCTTCTCACTAAGGGGAGTATACAGCAAGCCCCTTTGCTGTTCAACTCTATGCCCCTCACCCTCCCTCCTGTTGCTTCAAGCGCCAGAGCCCCCTCCGAAGGTGGACCTCTTCGATTTCCAGGATGCTCTGGGTGAGGCCCAACATTTATACGGTTCTTGAGGGAGGGGCGGTTCATGGGGGTAGGTACACCTTATAGGGAAGCTTAGGGAGCCTGAGGGAGTAGTGGGGAGAATTGGGGAACCTTGGGTTACATACCCCCCCTTGACCCCCTCCTAAGAACCCTATAAGACATCGTACTGCTTGGGGCTTAGCTCAGCTTCCCTAAATCTTCTCCAAGACAAGACGAGCCTGTGGGAAGTCTTCCAGGCAATCAATGGTGAGAAGCTGATCGGCAGCACGGTCATTGACTTGGAGGACCTGTGTGTTGTAACGTGCTATGTGACCCGTCTTCAAAGTTGTCTATTTTGAAAGGTAAGACTTTTGGGAGACCAGAGAACCATAAGTCCATGGTTGCACGCCACAACACAACGCAAAGGCGCGACTGAAACAAGACGCATGAGTAGCATGTCTCAAAGATGCAGGAAGTCGCATTCAGAATTGAGTTTGGGTAGTCGCATGCCATAAAACTCCAAAGTTAGCAGCTGGACAAGAAAGTTAGCAGGCCACGAGGAGAAGGCCAGTATGCGGAAAACACACATTTCCAGATTCAAGAACGCAGGACCGATGGCACTCTGCCTCCTGGCGAGACTGCATGGACCGTCGTCAGCAGGTCCCCACGGAGAATCGCGGGTCACTTGGGATGTGGTTTCAAACCCTGAGGGTCCATGTACCGTTATAGTATATATTTGGGCCCCAAAGCTACTTTATAGGAACCCTTTTAAGGCCCAAGTATATACTAGATGGGTACTTGGACCCTTAGGGAAAGAGCTCTGGGTGAGATGGCCCCAAAAGTGTACATCTCATTGGGCAGTGAGGGATGGCGTTTTGGGGTTTAGGCTATATCCCCCTTGGGAATCATTTTTTCTTTTTGTTTATATAAAACCCAAGAGGATATTGAAAGTACTTTTTTTATTAAGGTTCTACGGGGAGTATAGTAGGGGTCGAGGATATGAGGCAGCTTCTTTAGGGCAAGGCATGACAGGGCTCAGAGGTGTTAAGAGGTAAACTCTCCTCTCGTGTCCAAAACCCCCCACCCCCCCCCCTGTCTTCTCCAATCTGGATCCGGTCGGTTGATCCTAGCTTGCCAAGCAATGACACACATCCTTTGTGCCGCGCCGCAGCTAGCTTGCTACTTCCTGCGATGCGTTTTGCCGCTTCCTGGGGTTCAGCCTTCGGTTCTGGCACGTGACTTGCACATAGCCTGGGATGTAACTACGACATCCCAAAACTACCACCTCAGAACACCCTGCAGGCCCACGCACTCAAAAGCCCTCAAGTAAGGAACACGTCCACGACTCGGTTTACCAAAATAGGGGACCCCTAAAAATAGCACCCCGAAATAGTAGGATTCCCTTATATTAAGGACCCCAATAAGGTACCCCTAATCTCGGAAACCACCCGTATAAGGGGAGGAGATACAAGGAGCTGTAAACATCTGTAAACCCTAAACCCTAAACGTTATAAACCCTAAACCCTAAACCGTAAACCCTGTGTTTGAAGCCAAGGCTCATCAACCCGCAGCTCTCGGGTCAGAACTGTGGAAGCCTCTCGGGGCACTTTAAACGGGCGCCCGAGATCCCAAGTTGCCGATTTGTGTGCATTGTTGACGTTGTTATCGCCGTTGTTTTTTTTGCTTCGTTTGTATTGCTACTTGCCTACTTCTAGAGCGTGGGTGTCTGATGAGCTTTCGGGGCCAGCTGCCACACTTCTTCGTTTGGGGGTGGTTGAAAGGAAGCCGCGTTGGATAATTGAGGGGTCTTCGGATTTGGGAAAGAGACGTCGCATGGCCTCATCTGAACTGAGCGACGCCTCACCCGTTGACAACTGACTCTGATTAACCATCCGTGAGCAGAGCAAACTCCGAACAGTCAGGGTGCCCTGATTATCCTGGCCAACATGGCTTTAAACAGGGGCCCCCCCACTAAAGCAGGTGCAACATTACAGCTCCAAGGTCCAGTGCTTTCCGCTTGCTTCTGACACCTGAGGCATCGAGATGTGGGTTGAGATGATCGACAGCGTTCGGGCATCGGATATCAAGGCCTCCACTTAGAGCTTTTTCTATTTGCAGAGGTCCAGAGCTCGCGGGCCTGCTGCCAGTTGGTCGTTAAGTCTAGGCTGTTGAACAGCTACAGGTGTGAGATTTTGCTAGAGGATCCCCATGTGTCCACAGACAGGCATCTGCTGGAACCATGCACCGCTGGCCCCCTGCCACCCAAGCATCTAACTCGCCAGCTCTCTAAAGCACCGAGGGGCCTGCTTTGTCACTTCTTGCCCCACCTCGTTACGCCCGAGAAAGGCATCTGAGCTTCGGAAACCTCCGGCCATGGAGATCGAGATTCGCCGCTGAGCTTGAGTCTTGAGAGTCGGGCTTGCGCAGGCAGAAGCACTTCTCTCGTTGTCGTGTCGGTTCCTGGACCTTGCCGTGTATAGGGGTCAGCCTGATATGTGCTGCCTCCACAAGCGTTGACCCGCGGCCATGAATCTTTGAGCATGCTCAAGCAGCGACCTGCATGAATCAATGCCTATTCAATGCCTTATAATGAATGCTGAAGAACAACAAGCAGCACCAAAAACCCTAAACCCTAAACCCTAAACCAGAGGGGGTCTGCTAGGCGGGTGGCAAAATTTCCTAAACCCATTATTCCATGCCGTACAAATGGTAACCTGAGCTGCGCACGGGCCAGCTGTCCCACGAGATGCCAACCTGCAAAGTCCTCCCACTGGTTCTGAGTAGGGAATGGGGGCCGTTAGTGCCCTTTATACCCTTTCAAGGATTTTGCAGGGTACCTCATTCACTCATTCCCGACTAAGAACCAGCCAGTCCTGTGCTGAGGCCTTGTTATTCGCACTTGCAAGAATGTGAAACTCATGGACGGCTCCAAGACGGACGTGAAGGTCACAGTCGATTTGGAGTGCAAGGAGTACGAGGCCCGGATGTAGTAACTTCGGGGCGGCAAAGGCACCAGGAGAGGTAAGCGCGATGAACAGGAAGGCGACGAGAAGGCTGAGGGGCAAGGGATAGGTGAAAGAGAGAGGGAGGTTCGGAGTTGTGTGGGAGAGGTTGCTGTTGTTGTTGAGCTTTGGGGGCAGGGGCGGCAGGGCAGGACTTGCGCAAGGTGGAAGAATTGTTCGAAGTCAGGGGATGTTCAAGGTTGCAATGGGGATGATCTCAGAAATGCCCGATGGTGGCTGTGGGTGGCATCTCCCTCGCGCTTATGGGGCTTGCACCGGGAGACTATCATGTGGCAGTAGTGCTCGTTGCTGTTTGTGGGAGATGCTATCAGTGGTCCTGTCTCGCTTGATAGGGGCGTGTAACAGCTTGGGCCCAACCATCCCGTGCCGACTTGACACGAAACATTCGGCGCACTGACTTGGGGGGGAGCACTCCCCAAGCCCTCCGAGACGAAGAAGAAGAAGAAGAAGAAGAAGAAGAAGAAGAAGAAGAAGAAGAAGAAGAAGAAGAAGAAAGGAGGAGAGAGAAACATGGTACGGCACTTGTGCACTGCCAAACTCACTCTGCGAACACCTCTTTTGTATGGTGCCGCTTTGGACCTAACAGTACATGTCAGGCAGAAGACCAAAACTTCCCTTCCCCTTGATGGGCCGATTAGCTTCTGCGCCTTGGCCAGGGAGTTACCATGGGATTCCCCAAGCTGCAGCCCACGGACGTACACTTCGGCTCCACCGGCAATGTTGCCGGGCACATTTCAGAGATTCGGTTGACTGGGGATCCCTGTTCGGTGCAGCATATCTATATATATATATACATGCATACATATATGTATGCATGTGTCTGGTGTGGGGCCCAGTATGAAGGCCAAGGAAGGATGAAGGATTTGGGAACTTCAAAAGCAAAGTGCCTCGAGCTTTGCCAACTTCAGCTGCTTGCCATCCAAAAAGTCCGCAAACTCAGGCCATATTCAACTGGCGCATCGTGTACCCTCGAATCGTCATGCCGACCAAGTCCTGCACCATGGATCTCAAGCTTTATCAGGCCGCCAATCTCCCGAGCCTCCTAAACCCTAAACCCTTTAGACCCTGAAAAGCAGGAGCTTTTCGCCAATCTGATGGTTCGCTGAATTGACCGGAGCCCGTGCTTTGTAGTAGGTTTCTTCAGCTACATGGAGTGTCCCACATGCACTTGCGCCAGATCAAGCACTCCTATAGAGTCTAAGCGTGTGTCAGAGACGCGCTTGCCAGGCAAACTCCATCTCTGCTGATGAGTTCATCGGCGCCGTAAGTGTGGATTTGCGAAGATATGTGGAGAGAGTTGCGCGGGACATGGACATGATTTACATCGATGCTTGGTTGCTTCTAAAAAAGCCTTGAAATCAGAACTCCGAAGCTTCGTTTGCCTCGTCCTCCGAGCATTCGGACATGTTTTCAACGTCCTCAAATGCCCAAAAGCAATTGGCACAAGCCACCGTTAACCCCTACAATCCCCAGTCCCCAAAAGAAGAATTAGACGCTGAGCAGGGGAGCTCTTTCTGCGCATTAGCCAACTTAACCAACCCCTTTCACCTCTCGAATAAACCCTAAACCCTAAACCCTAAACCCTAAACCCTAAACCCTAAACCCTAAACCCTAAACCCTAAACCTGCACAGCCAGTGAGGAGAAAGCAGATCTCCAGTTCACGGCTGGCGCTTCCGGCGAGGGAGAAGAGGGAGGCGGCGAGAGCGGCGATGCTGCAGAGGAGGAAAGGGGCCTTGCTGCTGATTTCTATTTGTGGACAACTTATTTTTGTGCCAGTTGCAAAAAAAGGGTTTTGGGTTTAAGGGATTTTCAATGGGCACCCCAAGTTTGTTCTGGCGACTCCAAGCGCAGGAGATGGTGGGCTCCGTGCAGTTCGAGATGACTCTTGGACCTTATTCTCGGTGCGTGAAGGATCCTTTGATATAGTTACAGCTGCTCTCATGCCGGCCCGGGCTGTGGCTCCGGGTTGAGGAGTTTCGACGTCCCCCGTGTTTTTGTGGTGGGTTGGAGTATGGTAGGGCTGATAGGGTACGAGTTGAATTGAAGTATGTTGGCCGCACAGCAGGCTGCGCATGAACAGGGTTGAACCCACAGTGGCCTTGGTGCCGTGCATTCTGGCTCTTGCTTTTCCATCCCAGGTGGTTCATGACGCAGAGCGAGGCGAACCAGAAACGGAACGGCAGCTTGTTGTTTACCAATTCAAGACTGGTAGCCCAACCAGCTAGCGGCAGAAGATGTCAATATTGTTTCGCGTGATCTGCGGAGACAGCATTCCTTCTCCCAACACTTTCCCAGACAAGCCTCGAGCTGACGCCGTTAGGGCCACACTGCTGTCTTCCCAGCATGCCAAAACCCTAAAGCGAAAATCCCATTAATTAAACCCTGTCCACCCAAATTTCCGAGGTTCCCAAGTAAGTTGCAAGTGAGGACCAGCCCCATATGCCTCGATGCCCCTCCCCCCCTACCGGCCCTTTGCCCCCAAGCTCTGTCCCTGTAATTCACAGTCCATCAACCGTGAGCGCCAGAATTACCCCGTCCTAGGCAAGGGCCGAGAAGACCCCAATGACTTTCCACAGCTGGTCACGCCAGCAGAGGGCCGTGGTGCCTGGACCTTTTTTAGCTTCGGGTTTGGGGTGTTGTTGAGGGTTTCAAGTTTGGAAGAGTTTAGGGTTCAGAGGTTCAGGGGCGAGACCAGATGAGAGGGCTTAGGGGCGGGGGAGAGCGGGGCGCTAGAAAGGCGCCCTACATGCAAACACTGTCCTCAATCCAAGCCCAAGCCACCAGCGAGCACCAAGGTTGGGGTGACGTCCTGGGTGGCTTCTCTCTGTCTCTGCCTGATCTTGGGCTCATGAAGAAGGCAGCTTGGCAGTGTGAAAAACTTGTACAAGCGTGCACTTGATCAACAGCAAGAAAAAGGCAAGCTAGATGGCTAAATGTACGCGCCGACGGCTGTACGTTCGATACGAAGTTCCGCTCTTTAAACATGCATTCGCCGTATAGTGATTCGGTTCATGTCCCTTAAATTCCCCGAGCTTCTCACCCTGAGGTGATCCCGCTGATCCTCTTCACCTTGCTCTGTCTGGTTCTCCTCAGATTTATCGGTCTGCTCTGAGCGTAGGGCCCGAGGGCGCGTGCCCGTTTCACCGCCGCAGCTTTGGCCGCAAGGCGGCGAGCCATCATCGAAGTTGGCGCCTTTTGCCGCCACCTAGGACGAAGCTTTTTGTTGAGCCAGGAGGTGCCCCTCACGGACTTTGGAAAGCTAAACCCTAAACCCTTTGTTGAACCCCGCGCTGCAAAAAAGGGGTTTATAGGATTTAGGCTAAACCCGAAACCCTTGGAACCAGGAATCGCCCCCCCAAACAAGAACAGCAAATCCAACTTCGGGCTGGCTCTTAGTAATGCCGAGCCATGGCTTCAAGCAAAGGTTTGGACGACGGGCCACCGGCCCACCAGGACGCATGAGCGTATCTAAGGCCTTGGTAGCTCAGTGGTGCCCTTTACCTTTTTTTGTTGGGTTATGGGTTCCCTTATAAAATTTCCAACCCCAGAAAGGGCGCCCTTATTGCAATATGGTTAGCGGGCTACCAAGAGGCTGTAAGTTGTCACTACTTCAGCTGCAAAACGTGAAAATTGAAATCCCTAAACCCTAAGCCCCGTTCTTGTTTAAGAAAGGGCTGTACACGTCTTTTAGGAACTGGGTACTGCTTGAGTAATCTTGAGTGGCAGGGAATGCATCAAGGACATGTGGAAGGAGGATGCTTGTTGAGTACTTCGCCGCACGTGGTCCCAAGGAAATCCCGGAACACGAACCGAGCATGGCGACGAAAGCGTAAGTGCCTTGTGTCCTCAAGCTTTTGCTTGGACGCAGTCGGCTCACGTCTGGCAGGTTCCGGAACGCCCGTAATGTATATATACTGGACTATATGTATATATATATATAACTTTATATAATTTAGTATAATACAATATATACGTATGTGTACATATATATATATGTATGTATGTGGATCGTGTTTCTTTGGTCAAAGTGAAGGCGCCTGTAAGTTGTGGGTCCTTAAGCCGGCTGGCGAACATAATCCTTCTTGAGGGGCCCATGACTGTATGTTGTTTAGGGTTTAGGGTTTAGGGTTTAGGGCTTAGGGTTTAGGGTTTAGGGTTTAGGACAGTGTCTTGCTTCGACGAAGCCTACCTTTGGGAAGGCGTAGCTCCAAGGTTGGGAGCAATGAAGTCTGTGGGCATGCGGGTATAAGGCCCCATCTTGATGTTATCATGCTTCAGAAGTTACCTGAGCGACCTGAACTCAAGAAAAAGAAGTTCGGGAACCCAGCTACGGAAACACATCAGTAGCGATAGGACTCTACTGACTCAATGCAGTCAGTTTCACCTGGCGGGCGATCAAAGCCCTACAGACTTAAGAGAACACCCCCAGCACACCCTGCATATCTGACCCAAAAGCACCCCCTAAACACCCCTATACCAAAAACTCTCAACCCCACGTCCCTTGCAGCAGCCTGCAACCCTCGGCCCGACTCTGCGAGGTAGTTGCAACGCTCAAAGCTTGGCAACGCCACCCTAAACCCTAAACCCTAAACCCTAAACCCTAAACCCTAAACCCTACTGGCCCTTTAGGGCCTGTTATATGCAACAGCTGCTGGAATCGGTCCCCCCGTGGGCTACCTACGCTCAGTAGGGACATCCAGCTCTCGTTTTCGTTGTTTGGGTCACGACTTATTTAGGGTTTAGGGTTTAGGGTTTAGGGTTTAAGGTTAGGGTTTAGGGTTTAGGGTTTAGATGCGCTAACTCCATCAGTGCCACAGGCTTGGTATTTTGACTGACAGGCTGCTTCTTCGTTTCGTATTCCGTCAGGGTCCTGTCTAGGCTAGGTCCTAGGTCTAATCTTGTAGTATGTGGAGGTTTGAAAGTTTGACCACGTCATCCCACATCGAACGATGCTGCAAATGTGCAGCTGGCCAAGCTCAAGAAAGGAATGCGTGCGCCCCTGGACTTACGCCCCTCGACTACCGGCCCCATGCAGGAGTCTTTGTAGGGAATGGGGGGGAATGAGGCACCCCATGTCCCCTTAAAGGGTGTACAGGGGGGTAGACTGTACTGAATTCGGGTAAGAGACTCCAGCCTGCAAACCTTGCAACTTACAAGCGTCAACCTGATCCAATTGCACCGCAGCAGGCAAACCCCAAATCCTCTCTCAAAGCCTCCCCTCAAACTCACCCTAACAATTAAATCCTACAAAACCCTCAATATCTCCTATTCCCGATTATAAACTAAACCTCCCTAAATCCTACAGCCTCACCGAACAAGCCCCAAGCAAACAAAAAAAAAAAAAAGCCCCTAAGCCCCTAAACCCTTTAAAACCCCTAAAACCCCCTAACAACCCCTAAAACCCCCTTAAGAACCCCTAAAAACCCCTAAAACCCCTAACCATAACCCCTAAACCCTAAACCCTAAACCCTAATCAAGACCTGACGCCTCCAGGCCCTGGAGTGGGTGTCCAAGCAGCAGGGCTGGGAGACTTCCGGCTGCAGGGAGTTTAGGGGGGGGGGGGGTTTAGGGTTTAGGGTTTAGGGTTTAGGGTTTAGGGTTTAGGGTACTTCTGGTTGAAGGGAGTTCAGGAGGGTTTTAAGGCTTTTTTGCTGGAGTTTAGGGGGGGTTCAGGGTTTTTTGGGGGTTTTGGGGGAGTCAAGGAAGCTTCAGGGGAGTGTAGAGATTTTAGGGAACGGAGGGAAGCTTAGCTTTAGGGCGAGTCCCAGCTACCACAAGGGTGGGGCTTTGTCTGGCTGTTTCTTATGAAGGAATGAGGTACCCCATACAATCCCTTAAATGGTATATGTAGGGCCCTCACTCCCTCATTCCCTAGTTCAGAACCAGGAGGTTATGGCGTTTCGAGTTTAGAAAATCCCTCCACAGGGGGAGGTTACGTGGTCCCTTTGTCTGGTCCCCTACCTTGTTTAAGGTCTGGAGTATGGGCCCCCTGGGTTTCTTCTAGGGTGTATTACTCATATCTCATGCAGCATTCTAAGGGAACTAAGTACCCTCCCCAAAGAAGAGAACTAAAGTCGGGGTCCGAAAGGATGGAGTCCAGGCATCCGCCCCCCGCAATGCTGAAGCCAGATGATCTTAAGTCCCCCTCAAACCTTACTGTTACTAGTTTGCTATAGGGACATAAGGCACCATTCATATCTCTTTCTAGACTACCCCCAAGCACTTCTGAAGTTTCTACCTCCAATTCCTTTTTTTTGTAGGGGGGGGGGAACACACATTTGCTTTGAGGATCGCCTGCAGTGGTGGCCACATTGTGTGGGTCGTGCCCGGGGCTCTGTCTTTGCGGCGCTTGGGCTTTGCTTGATTCCTTGGCCCCTTATACTAGCAGTCCTGAATAGGGATTATAATCGGGGGTACTGCTAGTATAAGGGGGAGCATCCCAAGTGCCAGGGCACCCTTGTGTGGAAGAACCTGTATCTCGAATTTCTTGCCGCAGCAGTGTGCAGAGGTTGAGGGTTTGAGGGTCTACCCCCCCCCCCTGGTTGTGTTACTCTAGGATCTGACATCTGCGACATCTTTGGCTGTGTATCCCACATGGGCGCAGCGGGGATGGGGACATGCTACCCAGAAATGCTCCCGCCCTGTTCTGCATGAATTTGCATATACATGGGGACTTACTGCTTCTGAAGATGTGGCCTGCAGCCTGCAGGTTAAAGGGTTTAGGCTTTAGAGTTTAGAAAAAAGGGTTTAGGGTCCAGTGGCAAAAGGTTTAGGCAGGGTGTAGTGTAGGGTCAATCCAGCAGTCTTGACCAAATATTGACATCACTGCCTTCTGAGGCGAAAGGAGGACACTTTGCTTGCTCCGGGGGAGCTGTCCATACCAGTATAAGTAGGACTGGGTCATTGTCGACACATGAGAACAAAAATGATCATTTTCAAAAAGGACTACCCCAACGTTCCGGGGTCCAAAGCGCCAAAAATCCCTGAACACTTCAGTTCAGAAGAGACCTTCATTTGGGCGTGCCATATACGATGCAGCATCTATGTACCTGGCCTGCTCCTGGTGCTTGCCATGTTGTTGTCTGCCGTCGCCATTGGCGGCAGACCAGCTTACTTTGAGGGACATTACCTGGAAGGGAAGTCGACTCACGATCGTCGTCTCGCCCACTCGTCAGGTGCATCGGAGTCTTCCTTAATTTCGAGACTTTCGCCGCCTAGTCATATGCCACGTCCTTCTTAGGGCAGTTACATGGTCCCTGAGTATGGGCCCTCAAATGGAGCCCTTGTATACCCTGTACAACCCAAGGGCCCACACCTCAGAACCCTTTGAAGGAGGCAAGGGACCACATTAAGAGCCCATGTCGCTACCTCGGAAAGCCCTGTCCCAAAAACCCTAAACCAATGTCCCAATGCGAATGCCTCAGACGACGTCCCAGCAAGGCGTAAGCTAAAGTATGGGGATTTTCCGATTCTCCCAAGTCCGACCAATGAACCCGCTGTGCTGTGGCTAGTCGGGCGGCATAAACCCTCAGCCCTAAACCCTTCTCCCCGTAACCGCATGCGCAACGGGTGGGAAAAAACCCTTGCTGTTTCGCAGCTCCGGGCTCCCGGACACATCCTCGGGAGGATCTTGCGACCTGCCTCCTGAATCTGGGCCCTGGCGCCCGGCTCAGCAAGTTCAGCAACCCCAAAATCCTCTAGGATTTAGGGTTTAGGGTTTAGGGTTTAGGGCTCTGTATGCGATTGTGAGCGACGGAATCCCGCAGGGTCTAGGGTTTTGGGTTCGTAGCCTGCCAAGATCATCAGCATGTGCATTTTGCTTGTGGTGATGATGAGTGGCTTGGCCATTCAAGCCTTTTCTTTTCAAATTTTGATGACATGGGCTGGCTTGTTCCTCTTTCCGGATGGTAGACCTTGTCGTGTTTCGGTTTCACCCTTGCCTGTAAAGGTGTTCCAGAGCGTCCGTGTGCATCAGGTAGTTCAAGCATCTGAAGAATCCTGAATATCTGACTCGGCCTGCAGAGAAATGTTTCGATTGCGGAATGATTGAGGTCTTGGTGCTCTGGCAGACATGATCATGGCAGATCATGGCAGTTGTTCATGTTGACCCCA